GTTTCAATGCAATATACATAATTTATCCCATCTTTCTCAGTCTCCCCCCACTGCCCAATCCTTGTGTCAGTCCCGTTTTACAACAATGACACTTTTTTTTAAATGAATGTTTACATAGATTTTTGGATTTCCATTCATTCAACAGTGGCACTTTTTTAGCCACTTGATTTTCTTCATAGTCAAGACATCTACCTTCCCACACTACTTTTACTATACACTTTTCCATTATCATATGAATTTAAGGATCATTTCTTTTTAAAAACCTCATTCTAAAACAAACAAACAAACAAAAAAAACCTCACCTCATTCTAGAAATGTAATTGGGTTTACACATAATCCTCTATCAAAATGTTTTTGGAATATAATCAAGATATTACTTTGGATCTTTATTACTTTTTTTTTTTTTTTTTAGCTGATAGTACTTTTTATTAAGAGCAGACAGGTACATCATGAGCTGGGAGCATTTGAAAAGCAATGAGAGGGTGCAGCCATTTAGTTCTAAAAAGCCCAAGAAGACTTGATTTTCTCAAACTAATAAGAGATTTCACCAAGGCCTCACCAGGGTAGGCTCACCAATCCAAGGTCTAAGATGCCCAGCCTGGGTCATCACACTCTAAAGGGGCAGCCGTCTACACATTGTGGCAGCTGGATTTCACCATGGAGATTGTGTTCTCCCAAGGAACAGTGTATACCTGGAAGGAGCAGAGGACTTTCTTTTTCAAGGGTGGCTGGTCATGGAAGGGGCAGGTGGCTAAATTGGGCTGGGACTTGGTACACATGGTTCGTCCAATCTCCATGTCCAAGTAGTACTTCACTCCAGACACGATCTGCTTGCGGGCCCCCACCAGCTGCACCATCCGGCTGTGGTACTTGTCGTTGTTTGCCTTGTTGTACTCGCTTATGGCGAACTCAAGCGCACGTTGCACGCCCTCCTCGTTGAAGTCAGCATCCATGAGGCCACCCAGCAGCCGGTGCGGGGACTTGGCGGCGTTTGTAGTGTGCGCCGGGCTCAGCATTGCCACGAGAGCCCACATGGCCAGCAGGAGCAGAGAGGCACGCAGGGCAGCGGCCATGGTGGACAGCCAGGAATGCGGGCGAGCGCAGCCGGACCTTGGATCTTTATTTATTACTTTAAAGCAAGTTTTTTCTTGCCATTTCAAGAGTTGCCGACTTGCCCACATAAAATGAAATGAATACATTAAAATGTTAGTAGATATTTAGGCATGCATGCTAGGAGCCAAGACAAGAAAAATACATGTTTAAAATAATATATGTGTATTTACTTTGGATATTGTGAAATCTCATAAAATGCTAGGTATTTTAATTTGGAGTGATAATGTTTCCTATGTATTTGGGGACTTAGAGCTTAGTTTTTCTGGGAGACAGAGTCACATAATTTTAGAGCTAAAAGTAACTTCATTTCCATCTCCTCATTTTATTTTGTAAATAAGGACACAAAGGCTGGGAGTAGCCATGTAACTTGTCCAATACGATTATTTAAATAATTCATTGCTTTCAAGTCAGAACCGATCCTCTTAGGCCTAGCTGATCATCTATTTCAGTTTCCAAGAGATTCCATTCCCAAAGATTGTACATCCTTTCCCTGAAGTTCTGTTGGTTTGGGTTAGCAGTGCAGCTGGCTAAGGACTACAGCACCAGAGCTCCCAAAACTGGATAGAAGAGGCTCTCTTCTCCCTTCTTGTTTTTGCTTTTGTAAATGTATTCTCCAGATCTACATTTCAGTCTATTGCTCCCTAAATACAATGTGGTTGTTGCTGGATCCCTTCGAGTCCAACAGGACACATAGCCTAATGTTTTTAAGATTCATTCCTGTCTCTATATCATGTATTAGAACTTAATTCCTTTTTGTGGCCAAATAATATTCCATTGTATCGTTTTACCTCTTTAATTCCTTGAGCTTAAGATATGCTGTGCGAGTTCGGCCCTTTTGATTTTCTGACTCCAACTC